GTTGTAAGATTATAATATATTTTAACCACTATCTATCATTATGTATAAAAATATACTGCTAGCATCATCACATGAAATGAATTTAACACACAATATGAACTATKGACCAYAAAAGAGATAGRATTTTTAACGGGCTACGAAGTGCACGGGTTCAGCTAGTAATTATAACTAATGGCATTCACTTACATCAACATTTTTTTTTTTCAAAAGCTGAAAAAATCTTACGTGTGTCACCTTTTAACTACCAATTGGATTTGAAAAATAAGTACCACCCAAGGCTAAAAAAATCTATCTTTTATTCAAAATGTTCCAGTAGTCTTTGAGTCTTTTAACTTCAGATAAACTAATACTCATTTTTAGCTAGCTATACTATCAGTGTAAAAAAAATAAAATATAGTACAATATAGGTGTATCTTTCTTGGTTTAGGTAAACATGCTTTGTCAGCTAATTCGATAAAGACAGATAATTTGCCTGTGGTGGATTGGATATAGCATTTAGAATATATCAGACATAGTTCAACCTGCTTTCTAAGCTTTTCCGACATCTCCAACTGTTGGAACTTTTGAGTCCAACATCTATAATATTGGTAAAGGGATTTGTTACTGTTATTGCCTGTCTTTGTTTAATGCACCTGCAACATAAGTTTCTATACGTGTTCTTTGCCAGAAGTACCAATTAATCTAATGCAGTGATAAGGATTCTAAAAACAGAATTGAATTAGTCATCAAGACTTCTTGAGATTGACTTTCCTACATTTTTGATATTGTCTCCCAAATTTCTCAAACATTATGTTAAAAAACTGTTGTTATTAAATTTTCAGAGAAGTTAAAATCAAAAAATTAAAAATGTGGAAGTTGATTTCAAGTAGTCTTGATGTCAAATTCAAATCTGTTTTTAGAATTCTTATTGTTTCACTATATCCATCAGTACGTTTGTCAAAGAAGATGGTTAAAATCCTAAAACAAGTGTGTGTTAGACAAAGACGAAAAATTACGGTATTGAATCCCCTTAAGTAGTTTTTTAGTACCTATATAAGCTACAAGCTAACATTCAAATATATTTGTTTTAAGATATAATTTCTACAAAATGAAACAAACACAACATATTGGTACATGCTTTTACCTTATCTGCCCGAGTAAAAAACGGCAACCATTTATATATAATACTTAATTATTGTCCTATTACTGTTATAATCTGTAAGCTGTAACCAATATCCACCATTTATAAAAAAAAGTCCAGATTGAATCAACTGGGTCCAATTTTTAATCTGAAAAACCATCCAGGAGACCCACTCAACAATTTCATCAAATCGATCCAACTGTTTGGTAGATCAGTGACATGCACAGTAATTACACACGTACAGAAAAATCAAATGTAATATAGAGATAAATATTTTTTTTCTCATTTATACCTGATTAGAATCATCGAATAAATTTCGTAACACAGTAACAGTTGACTTAAACTTTTCATCAATATTTTTAAATAAGTCTTTGGTTTTTAAATTATGTTCATTGTAAATTGATGGTGAACATAGCATAACACCAGTGTGGCAGTTTATGTCAAGATAACGAAACAGCATACTTAATTTACCTAAACCAAATCTGAAAATATATTTTTTAATTAATTATATTAATTACTAATCATTCAATAATTTAAACCATTTACTTATTTGGAGACACTGACGAATTCTTTATAACATCGGTCATGTCTATTGACCGTGACCCATCCTAAAATTTAAACAAAATATTTTTTAGTATTATAAATTATAATTATTTAGTATTCATCAAAGAAAGAAAACATTCATAATATTACTGAAATAGTATTTTCATCTTCAGAATTATCAGACCACTCAATTGATGAAGCTTTCATCATGCGTTCAGCTCGACGGCCAAATACTGGACCTTGTACATACATGCTGTCTTCTGTGCTTGGCGCTCCACTACTCGTTAAACTTGTTTCTGAACATGAATCTATCTGCCTAGAATCTGTTTTAAAATAATTTTTTTCTATTTATCTAAGTCAAATTCAATATACAATTTCAATTAATCTAAACACCGGCCACCGAGTGACTGCTACTATGCGGCACTCAAACTTCATCCATTGCCTTCACCAAACCTCAGGTTTAGCAGGCTGCCGATGCTGTTATCTACGCAATGCTGCAAATTCGGATATTTTGCACAGCAAATAGGTAGTAAAGTGGGAGAAAAATGGGTACAAAACCACAGAGCTCATTCATTAAGATGCGCCAAGGAGTAGCGCTGTCTCGGTGGCCGGAGTATATATTTTATACTTACCATTAAATAACTGTGAATTTGATGTAATGTCATTTTTGTGTTTTAGAATAGAAATTATTTCTGGTTTTCTGAATTGCAAACCTAAAAAAAATGTATTTAGTAGAACTAAACAAAGAAATAAAAGTAATAAATTACCACTTGACTGCTTATTATTTGCAAGCATATTTAACCCTGCACTTTTTAAGGTTTCTGTTTGGTATATTTGCATTATATTACCTTCAATCCTACAAAATAAAAATAAATTATTAGAATATTATGTATATTCATTTATTTAAACCACTGTTAGTCACTTCAGAGTATATTATTATGTAGTGRTCCTAAATTTCAGAAAATGTTTAAATTATTTTAGTGTACTTAAGAATATATTTTATAAGACTAATAGTAATTTAACTAAGGAAATGTAAAATTGTATTATTTATTACTGTGCTGGTCAAATAGAATTTTGGATAATCAATAGCTTAGAATGTACAAGGGAAAAATGTTATTAATTATTCAATGCATGTCACTAAATATGACAATTCCAAAGTGAAAATATGTTTGTAGCGGTTATTTATAACAATTAAATTTGTATTTTATTAATTATGCTTTACTAATGATGTTAAGAGGATGTCAGTGTACAATTTATTTTCTCTCTCTGGCCCAAGCAACATACACAGAATCATTTTTTAATGTCTTTAAGTAATATTAGAGTAAAATCATCGAAAACAAAAAACATAGCAAATAATATTTTTGGGGGAATGATATATTGATTTGTATAAATATTTCTCAAAACAATTAAACATCATTTAAATTGAAAAATGTTTTTTTGTTTATTTTGAAAGTCAAATACAAAATCAAATAACTAACTATAATATCGATATGTCACTTCAATATTATTCTTTATCTCTTTTGTAATGGGTGATTTTACTTTAAGATTAAAAACATAATTCTGCGTAAATGCATTTTATCTGTGTTGCACGTCGGCCAGAGAGAGAAAACATATAGTGGCGCTGACATCCTCTTAATGTTATTGCAATACAATATAATATATCATTATATAGTACCATTTTTCTGCAACTTCATCAACATTCATATTAAGAACATTTTCTAACGTATCTTCAGCTTCTTCCACATATTCAACATTGGGTCCATCAAATACTTCATTTCTGTATAAAAAAAAATTAATTTAATAAAACTTACATTTACCAAACTATACTTTTTATATTATTACTTTGAACAACTAGGACCAACTTCAAGGAGTGTTGCCATAAGATTATTACCACGTCCGACAATTAACAAATACCATTTAGATTTTGGCAGTGTATACACAGAGCCAACAAATGTACTATTAGATCTAACTGACGAAGGATAAACTCTTCGGAATATTATTAAACGTTCTAAATATTCTGATTTAGGTAGATGAAACAATCCATTTTGTAAGCAAAACATGTGAATATCCAATTGATCTTCATAATTCAAGTGAGATGACAATAGGTATTCCTATGATGGTGAATTATAATTTAACTAATGCAATTTGAATGTGGAATGTCCTAATTTAATTACCTTATAATAAATTGATGTACCAATGATCAAGTATGGTCTTGGTTCCCTGGTGTCTTCACACTAGTTAAAA